TGTAGGTGCTTGACGAGCCGTGCTCGTCGCCTACTCCTGATTGTGTGTTGTTCCTTGCTGTACCAGGTGGGTTTACTTATAAAATTTGCTATGCCGTATGTGTTTACTTTAATGTTGGGTTGATATGATCTAAGTATGCATGTAAACCATGTAGCCTATCAGCGTGAGCCGATTCGGCCGTCGGTACGGTTGTCCCCGTCGATGTAATGCGGTTACCCTTGCGAGGTAAGTCTCCCTAAGACCTAATGAAAGGCCGTGTCCGTAGCGTGACACGTACCTCCACGAGTTAGGGTAATGAATCCCCTTTCCGTGGCTAATGAAAGGTGTGTGCACATGGGTAGTATGATATGTTGTGTTGTGATATGGAGATGTGACATAATAATTGATTAATGTTCATGCCGCGACCATACCTTCTTTACATTATTTATTATTGTGTTATACGTGCATAGTGGTGAGCACTCATTTTCATCTTGTGCTCATCCCCACCTGCTCTTCACGGATGCAGGTTAAGCAGGTGTCGGATGACGAGGAAAGATGAGTGGGTCGGTCTTTTGATTATGCTTTATTATTATGCTTCTGTTTATGAATAACTTGTGGTCCTTGTGAACCTCTTTTGGTTAAGACGTGTTGAACCGTTTTCAAAACTTATGGTTTTTGGGATTATTGGACTAATGTTTTGTTTGGATATTCGTATTGGATTTGTTGCTTGAATATCACGCGTTTGATTATGCATGATATAATGTTTAGCTAATAATCATGTGAAATTGATGTTTTAAGGGTTAATGAAAATCATGTGAACAACTAGATATGACTTGGTTGATGTTAAATGTTGTTTAACAACCATTAGATTTTGAAAATGATCTCGAAATATTATTACTTGATTTTTAGAAAGCCCGGGATTTCTTTAAAATCAAAGTGGGGTGTTACACAGACGTTACTACACCGACCTGCGAACGAATTGCAGGGTCAGCTCTGGGTGACTTTCACCGGTCTGCTCGGTTCGCGCTGTGCCGGTGGTTTTTCCACGGCGATTTTGTGCTTCATTGTTAGACGATTGGGCCGTCGTTTTGGACTGGGCCGCCCCATGTTCCTTTCCTGCCGCCCTCATTTTCAGGGTTTTAAGCTGGGTATTGCCGGGGTTCTCCATTGCGTTGACGGTGCGGCCCCCATCCGTATGGCAGGCCAAAGCCTTGGCGAAAGTCCCCTCGAAGACTTTGAGGACGTCGGGGTGTTGCATCGCGGCAGAAAATGTTGGTATCGGAGGGACTGGGGCTTGGGTCCCTGTAGGACGCCGGTGCGAGGTCTCCTCGCCATTGCGACGGCGGGATTGGGCTCCAGATTATTGAGTGGATTCATCATGACCGGATGAAGTCACTTTCAACGTTTTTTCTTGTTGGAAAAATAAAGGAAAATGAAGTGTGAGAGGTTGTGGTGTTCCACAAGATCGAACAATTGACACCAAGCAAATTATTGGGCCCTCCTTCTAGCGTCAAACTGTTAATGGACAGATCCGATCAACGGTTAAAATAAGATTATATGAGAGTGAATAATAAGAAGGCAGGAAAGATATACGGTTTAATTGGATTTTATTAAGTAGTTACGAGGTCGGCCTCTGATAACGAGGTCGGCCTCTGATAACGAGGTCGACACTTTTCTTATGCTTGAGAGTTCTTACAGGAACTTATTACAAGATTCTAGAGAGAGAAAGTAGTAGTTGAGGAATTCAACAACCCATAATAAATGAAATGGGCCTCCTATTTATAGTAGCTTCGAATTCGGTACTGTTCACCGGCCATGTCATACAGTGCTTCTGCTAGGCAGGTCGGCACTTTCTTCAATCATGACCTGTCAGACATTTAATGCACACATGGGACACATTAAATGTTGACAGGCCTTTTTGCCGAGCTATACGCCCTAGGGCGGTAGACTAGGGTCGATTGTCCCATCAGCAATCATTAATCGCCAAGTGGCAGTATTATATTATTTTTGAGCTCGGCCTCCTTATAGTGGCCGGCCTCCGGGAATTTTCTGACCGGACTCCCAGCACCCGCCGACCTCATGGCCCTTAGGATCCTAGGTATCTGCTTGGCGTCCTCCGAGGTCGGCCTTTCCACGTGTCTTGCCCAGTGCCGACCTCTGAGAACATATTAGACGCCACCGCGGTTAACTTTCTCCCTTACCCAGCTCGGCACTTTGATGTCTTCTCGCTGCCCTCTGGGTCGCGAGGTCGTCTTCCCCCCGTCTTTATTTCCGAACCGTAAGTCCCGTGACTGATACAGATATCAACATCGTGACAAAATGACGTGAAAATACCGATCATGACAAGAAGGCAAATTATCCAAATCGTTTGATTATTGGACCAAATATGATGATTTTTTCAACATATTGCACAAATTTGATGTCTGCCAAAATGTTAGATCTTTTCTGAAAAATGCCAATATAACTCACCAAAGAATTAAAATTTGCCTGGAGTGACATTTGTCTAGTCATCGCCACCTGTAAAATTATTTGGCTCGAAAATTGACATGGATGACACGAATTATCCAGATCGCCTATTATTGTACTAAGCATGATAAAATTTTCAACTTACTGTACCAAGTCTGATGTGTCCAAAATGTTGGACCTTTCTTGAAAAATAACTAATATAATAGACAAAAAAAATTATATGGAGCATCGGATTGTTTTCTTATAAAGCCATCTATCACTTTATGTATTGATACATGTCCATATTGTATTTATTGTATAACACGTGTCAATACACTATCAATTAATAAGTGTAGATGATTTTATAACAAAATTGTAGACTAAATTTTTGCCTAACTCATTATGGACACGTAACCTATATGTTCTTACGGGCGTTTTGACCACAGGCGCCATCTTCCAACTTGGGGCGACAATCATCCGCAAGGCGAAACTCCTGTAATGCCGACACCTGGTAGGGTTTTCAGCCGTCGATTGCCAGCACAGAATATTGTTTGTTACTGGTCCCGGCGCGTGGGGTTCTGAAAACCCCGGCCTTTCCCCCTTCCTCCGCGATAAGAAACAAAAGTAGGTACGGAGCCAAAGCAGATTACGGAGGAGGAGCGGACATTTCTTCTCACAAAGGTGTGCGCTCTCCTGTAAACCCTAATTTAACTTCACTACTCAGTTGTGTATTAGAAAACAGTGCTTTGGTTGTAAAAGAAATAATGGTGCCAACTTAGTGAGCGTTTGCGTGTTTCGCACTGTGAGAAGATGTTGGAGCAAATTAAGTCTGGGGATGGTAAAGTTTACTGTAGGAGATCGCCTGAAAACAGCAAGGGCAGCAGCGATTTGTTGAGGGGACAAACTATTGTTTCAGAGGGGCTAAACCCCACGAGAACACTACATGCTTCTGGTTTTGATATGGGTTCCGATAATTTTTCGGGCCTGAGTCGTGTCGGGTCAGCTGTGAGGGGAGGGTTTCTGAGGCAGGAAAATCAGGTTCGGATAGATTTGTCCATGACATCGAAACGCCATTTTCTTGAGCTAAGGAGGAAACTGGAGGCCGAGCGGGAGATGGTTCGGAGCTTGATGAGCAAGATTGAAGCAAATGAGAATGAGGTCCGCAAGCTTATTATTAGAAATGCTGATAAGGTGGCTATGGGAATGGGACCGTCACGAACAGTGAAGCCCGTGAATCAGTCAATTAAGCAGTCGAGCGTTGGTAAAGTGGGGAAAGAGAAAAGGACTCCGAAGGTAAACAAATTGTACAGGAATTCGGAGTTTTTGCTGGCCAAGGATAAGATTCCCCATGTTGAAGGCAACAAAAGATTGAAGTCAAAGGGTGAAGGAGGAAGTGGGCTGGGAATGCAGAATTTTTCAATCAATCAGGCATTCAAGAGTTGTAGTGCTCTCCTTGAGAGATTGATGAAGCACAAGCATGCTTGGGTATTCAACACGCCTGTGGATGCTGTTGGTCTTGGTCTGCATGACTATTTTGAAATCATAAAGAACCCTATGGATCTTGGTACCGTGAAAAATAGATTGACTCAGTCTTGGTATAAGTCCCCGGTCGAGTTTGCCGAGGATGTGAGACTCACTTTTCGTAATGCTATGACTTATAACCCAAAAGAGCAAGATGTTCACTTGATGGCGGATCTGCTGTCCAAATTGTTTGAGGACAAATGGGCTCCTATAGAGGCTGATTATAGGCATGAGATGAAGCTTGCTTCAGATTTTCATGTGGGCTTGCCAATGCCTATGGCTCAGAAGTCTCTTCCCCCCTCACAGTCAAGGGCAAAACCTGATATGAAACTATCTGTTGATACTGATCCAAAAAGAAAGACAATGGGTGCTGTTCAATCTGGCAAGGTTCCTTCCCCAAAGAAACCTAAGGCAAAGGATTCTGACAAGAGGGAGATGACATATGAAGAGAAGCAAAAGCTTAGTGTAAATTTGCAGAATTTACCTTCCGAGAAGCTTGAGAACGTCGTTCAGATTATTAAGAAGAGAAATCCCTCAGTTTCACAGCAAGATGATGAGATTGAATTCGATATTGACAGTGTTGATGCTGAGACTCTGTGGGAGCTTGACAGGTTCATAACAAATTATAAAACGAGTTTGAGCAACAACAAAAGGGAGGCTGAAAATGTCAGTCAAATAGCCACTGATCTATATCCAACAACCAAGGAAAATGTAATCTTTTTTTACCATCTTAGTTCATTCATGATCGTTTTTTGTTTTATGAATCTTTTCCTTTCTGTTCTGCAGATTACCTCGACAGTTCAGACTGAGACTCCAAAAGAAAGCAGAACAGGTAAAGCTTTGGATACAAAAATCCAGTTATTGCATATGAGTTTGTAACTCATGAAACTTTTGATTTTACTTTTCCTCTTTATTTTGGTATATTCTGCGATTCATTAATAGATGAAGTGAGAGCTGTCATAACTCCAGTTGAAGTGGAAGGGCCCCAATGCGTTAACACAAATAAAGAAGCCAACCACAGCAGCTCCAGCTCTGATACCACCAGATCCTCATCCAGGGGTATACTGATTATTACTTGTTTTTGTCGTTTCCTTTATGACTCGTTTTGACATATTTCGATGCATTGAAGTGTTGTCCTCTTACTGAAGTAAACATTCATTGCAGATTCTGATGTTGAAAGTTCCTCAGCAGATGGATCTGATGGCAAACACTCACCAAACAATTGAGTTTTGAGGTATAGTTATTCTTCTTTCCAGGCTAACTTTTATGCTTTTGATTTTTCAGAAGATAAATTCTTATCTTTATCAATTGTTTTTTTCGCTTGAACGTGTGATTAAGAACACTTGAAACACCAATTACTTTAATATAATTGGTTTCTTTGCTATGGTTTTAGTAATCTAGTGCTTATAATGACACACGTCATAGTCTGGTGGAAATAATTGATTGCTTTTTCCGTGCATCCATGTAACCAAATGGATTCATTTTAGATTTAAGTTTATTTGCTACGGTTTTAGTATTTTAGTGCTTATAACAACACACGTCAAAGTCCGATTGAAAGAATTGATTGCTTTTCCATGTATACAATTTCCTTGGAGATTTTACCATCTCAAATTATGGGATATATGAGGGCAGAAATTATGGAATTCTTTCTGTCAGACAGAAAAAGGTGAAAGATTTATCATCAATCAATCTTCATGTAGAATATAATGCTAACGCCTCCCAGGATTTCATTTTCACCCGCACAAGCCGACGGCTCAATTTAACTTTTCAATACCCTATGGATTTGTTTGGTTTAGGCGGATAGGATTGGACAATATCAGTCACTTGTGGTTTCTTGTGTTCTGTTGATAACAATGATCTTTGTTTGTGATGATAATACAATTTTTGTTTCCCCAAAAACTGAAAATAAATAAAAAATAAAATTGTATTCGTATTTTATTTTTATTTTTTCCTTAATAGTCTTCTTCTTCTCTAACCCTCACAAACCTCTATCATCAACCACCTCCTCTCTCTCCAAGCTCTCAAGCTTCAGGAGCTCAACAGATTTCCATCTTTTGTTTGCTTCGCCAAATGGGTCATATATTGATTCGCCCACTTTACAGCAAAAATAGGTGGAAAAAAATTTGGGCACGAGATCGACTTGATAACATACTCGGCCGCTCGAGTTCGGTCAAACTCGAGCTCAAGTCAAACTTAGACTCAAGCACTCGCGAGCGGCTCGTGAGCCGCTCGACTCGTTTGCAGCAGTCACAGTCACAGAAAAACTTGTCTCATCAAAATTGCAAAAGTCCTTAACGTTTCTTTCTGCCTTGTTAGACATAAATTCCAATGTGGAATACTTGGGATTTTGAAAATAAATGGAGTTCATTCATAATTTGGCTATGCCCCTTAGGGATAGTATCTGCAATTACCCGTTTTATCTGCTCTATGAAGAATGATATGATTATCCCTGCTAACGCTGCTAACCCTCCTAACTGCCCTTACATATTCGCGCAAGATAGATGGGTGATTCAAACATTGCCTGAGAATACAACCCTTTAGTGGTTGTAATAGAATAGCCAAGAGTGATGTCTGTTTTCTGGATTCAATGCATGTACCATTTGCCGTTATAAAAAGAATTAGGACTTTGGTCATTAAGAGATACTTTTGGCTAGTAATTAGTCCAAATAAGACTATTATTTTGGCCACAAAGCCACAAAGCCACTCATACCTGGTAATGCAAGGGAGGCTACCTCTAACTTCTCCTTGGAAAATATCATGCCCTAGCTAAAAAGGGATTTTTTTTTTTCCTCTCTCTCTCGTGCCTTACACAAAAGTCTAAGGATTCATTTAAATAGAATATTAACCCTAAAAAAATAACCCTAATGGACGCCATAACCTTATGGGCGTCAATTAGCATTGCTCTCCCTTTAAAATGGCTTTCAAATAGCATTGCATTGATAGAATAATGTAGTCTAAGATCTTGCTCACATCAAATTCGAGCTCATGGTCTTTACCCTTAGTATGCTTCTGCAGCATAAGGCATGAATGGATTTTTTGGGCCTTGGGCTGTACATGAATTGGGCTATACAGTTCTTTACACAAAAAGCAAAACTCTTTTTCTTGTAGATCTTGGTTTTGGTACTCTTGATGAGCAATGCCAAATGCTTTTTGAACAATAAAGTGGTTGGATTGTGGACAGAGGGGGCAAAAGGAGAACTGATATATATATATAGATTAAACGAGGGAATTGTGACAACCATTTGTAGGAATTTAGTTGGTTGTTGTCATGGGCTGATTTTGTAAATTAGGGTTAGGTAATGTAGAACCCCTTAATTATTAGTCTACCTTTTCCTTGGTCTGGGTGTTGTCCAAAAGGTGTGCAGTGTGCTTGTTACAAACATAGGGTTTGAGTAAATGGTGTTCCTTTGATGTGAATGACCATATATTTAGTTCTTCATGAGCTATATGGGGGTGACTGAATATAAGCTATTTTGAATTTGCTTGGATTTTTTGGTTTAACCAAAACTAATTTTGGAAAAGTTTATTTGGTTAAGTTTGAGTGAGATTTTGAGTTTGTACTTAAAATGATGTTTAAAATATAATGATTCAAGTTGATTTGATGTAAAAGTAGGAGATATGTGATTTGAAGTGATGAGTAGTTAAAATTATGCGAGAAGATGAATAGTAAATTAAAGTTGAGTTGATGTGTTAGGATGATTGATTGATATTATTTAATTACATTAATAATATTGAGGAGAATTGACATGAAATAATTTTAGCTAGATTTTGAGTTAAAAAAATTGTTTGGTCACTTTTGACCAAATAATTTATATCCAATCACCCCTTATGGACTTGAATATAATTAACACCCCCATGGTGGATGTGGAGGATTCGAAACATTGGGGTTCTCTAGTTTGTGCTTTGGTGAATAAATCTACCACTTGCAGCTTTAAGGTCACATACTTTACAATAATAATTTCTGATGACAATGAGATCGGATAAAGGAATTATCGACACTAATATGTTCATGCTTTACAGGATCATTGACATTTTCTATGGCTCCAGATTATCACAAAGAAATGTGTATCACAAGAAATACCAAAATCAGTTAACAACCGTCAAGGTCGTATATGTTTTGAAGTGGTAATAGCAAGTGCTCAAGTTTCTACCTTGTTCTAGATCGAGACACAACTGCCTTACTTGACTTCCATGTAAGAGTAGAAGAACTAAGAAAATACAATAACCATTGACAAAACAATGATATGTTGGGTTACTCACCCAAGTAGAGGTCGAGTAAAAATGAAGCCAGAGCGAACTGTCCCGAGCATTAAACAAACTCGGAGAGATGTTCCCCTTAGTACCGTGACACACGAAGCAAATGTCCAAAATTAGTCGAAGTAGAAGCATTCACAAACTGATGCAATATATGAACAACATGAGCAATGGTTGTTCAAGAGGCGTAGCATTCATAGGATGACTGCAAGTGAAGATCCATAGGTATGGTCGTTCATTTATCAGTAATGCTTTTCGCATGTATGAATTTGAGCTAAGAAAGGTAATAGCCCGAGTCAGAATGCATGAGCTCAAAATGCCCAAGTACTAGCTAAGAGGACCCAAATCAGACATTGGCAATTGCACACCAAGTTGCTTCTTGACATGATAAATATATCCCACATCATTTCTCGTAATTAACATACCGAAAAAGTAGAATACACGTGGAAAGGGAGCATAAATAAGGCTCTGGGAAAAAATCATCAACCCATATTACTGAGACAAAACGTACCAGCCACGCATAGTTTTGTTTGAGATCATATAAATCGCGACGAAGACGAAAAACATGTCCGGATGAGCATCAACACTCAGGGGTGATGCATTTAAACTGAGATCTCCATAGGGAAAAACATTCCTAGCATCGATATTGATATGGTCTAAGAACGAGTAGCAATCACTGCAATCAAAGTATGGACAATTGCACAGAGTATGGACAATGGTCATGTGAGCATCTTTAAAAGTCTCATCATAATCTTGTCTTGAGCCTACTAAATGCCTCTAGCAACAAGACGGGCTTTATATCTCAATGGAACCATCCGACTTGACCTTTGTCTTAAAGACCCACTTAAAGTTGATAGGCACGTCATGTAACGGTAATGGAACAAGGCAAGCTGGGCAGGGCCAGCTAGGCGATCGCCCATGGCCTGCAAAATATGAGGGGTCCATTATTTGTATTTATTAAGAAAAACGTATATTAGTATTATTTTATTTTAAAAATAATTGAGTTTTATCTACTTATTCAACTATATAACTATATATTTTTATCATGTTTTCTATCATACAAATCTATCCGCTCAAAATGAACTTTTTGTTAATCTGAGTTTATTTTGAAAAAAGTGGTACGATTAGTTGTTAGTGTAATTTTAATTTTATATTATTATTTAAAATAAAATAATTAAAATTGATTTGATGTAAAAGTAGGAGAGAGATGTGAAGTGTTTGTTAGTTAAAATTATGTAAGTGGATGAATAGTAAACTAAAGTTGATGTGATGTGTAAAATGATTGGTTGAAATTATTTAATTATATTGTTAATATTGAGGCTAGTGGAGTTGAGTTAAAGTTGAGTTAGATTTTGAGTATGAATTGAATATGAACTGAGTATTTTCATATACAAACATCCCCTATATATTTTATCTTGTTTTCCTTTATACAAAATAATCCAGTAATCATGATAAAATTAATTAATGAGTTAGATTTTGAGTATGAATTGAATATGAACTGAGTATTTTCATATACAAACATCCCCTATATATTTTATCTTGTTTTCCTTTATACAAAATAATCCAGTAATCATGATAAAATTAATTAATCAATCAATCAACAAACTGTAAAAACCCCACTAAGTGGGATCGGCTATATGGATCACATGTCGCCATCGTGCTCGATCACAACACATATCCTCATTCAAACTTAAATATTTTAAATAATTTTTTATTGTCTCATTCCATGTTTCCTTCGGTCTATCCCTCACCCTTTTAATTTGCATTCTTAATTTTAATAGTTCTACCCTTCTCACCGGAGCCTCGAAGTCTCTTCTACGCACATGCCCACCATCTTAATCGCGATTCTCTCATTTTCTCCTCTATGGACGCTACCCCAGCTTTATTTCTAATACTTTCATTTCTAATCTTATCTACTCCTAGTATGCCCCCACATTCTTCTTAGATATAATTAATTAATAAAAATGGATAATAATTTTTTTTTTCGATTTTTATTCTTTTATTGTTTTACTCGATCAATCTAAATTTGTAATTCCTTATATGAATATAAAAAATGTTAGTTGTGTGTGTATAATTCTGTATATTACTTAAACATTTTGTGTATATTAAAGTGAGTTATGTGAATTTATCCATTTTTAAATGCGAGTTTCAGTTTATTTTAAGTTCGTTCTTATATTTTTCTAAATGGTTATTTAGTATTTTGCAATAAAGATTCTTTAAACTAGAATTGACTATTTTGGAGTACAATTAATTTAAAAATATGGTAAAGGTTAAAGAGATCTTGAAACTTTGATTATTATATATGTTAATGCGTTGACAACTCGACATACAAAGTGTGAAAGTGATCAATTCCTCTTGTTATTTTTTAACTATTTTTTTTTCAATTAATTTACGAAATTAAGTTATAATTTTCTATCTTCACTAATTTTCTATCATATGATAAATTTGTATGAACCTACTTTTTTTTAAATAAAAACATTACAAACTGTTTACTTCATTTGGCCCATGGCCTAAGAATTTCCAGGACCGGCTCTGGAACAAGGTCTCAAGTGCCAGTACGATCTAGTTCAACAAGTTCCTCCAGCATAGTCAGCTGAATACTAGCTTCTAGTAAGTGGATGACTCATAAACAATAGCACTCGCACGTGGAAATCGAGACCTGTCAAGGGGCTCAATAGCATAAATTATATAGCATGTGACGCATCAGAATCAATAGAATCATGAGCATGAGGACTGATGCAGTAGAATGAGTTGGAAATGTTGCGTGACCTATTAGTCAATGAGTACAGACTTGTGTGTAGGTGGTTTATATGGTGGAAGCTCGTTAGAAATAGGTGGTGGAGATTCATCATGAGTGGATGGTACCTAAGGATATGGTGAAGAGGCAAGCACATCATTAGTCAAGGAAATAGGAGGAAGACGTAACAGACTCTATAGAAGAAGAAAATACTGACATGTAAAATGATTAGAAAGGACAGTCCTACCCAAAAGACGAGAGGAGGAACCATAGAAAGATAACCCTTATTCTGAAGACTATACCCCAATAATAAGACGCACTCAACCGACTGATCAGTAGTTTAGTTTGCTTACGAGGTGCAAGTAGAAACATAACATGTACACCAAAAAACGTGAAGTTGGTCAAAGCTGGGGGAGTACCAAAGAGCACCTGGACCTTGTCAGTACTCTTTTTTTTTTTTT